AACGTTTTCGGATGCATAATTCGGCACTCGCCGTGAGTCGTATCGAAACCTTCGTAATTGCAAGTCAGGTTGGCCATCACCTGCCCTTAGGGCACAGCCACGAGACATGCAGAAAACTTGTAGTGGCTCCAGGCCTGCGCAGTTGTCATTTGGGCGCAAGCAAACGGAGCAGAATGAAGCCCTGATTTCGGTATTTGGCTTGCTTCAACAGCCATTTCATGAACAATTAGATGGGCCTTGCTCTTGGGATGTCTTTAGTGTCCGAAACTTGGCTCCACGACTGTTCAGTCTGAGATCGAACAATCCTGTCATGCAGGATGAAAACTCTCCATCTGGAGGTTTAGCCCAAAAATGGGGACGGTGAGGTGCTCACAATGATGCGATGCTCAGTTCATGCAACCACCTCACGTTGCCGAAGTGACTGGCCGGACTAGAATGCTGGTTGCAGGAGGACCAGGATCATAACCATTGTGCCATCGTTTCGGACCGTCGAGTCCTCGCCTTTTCAGGTTTCTGAATGCACACAGGAGAGACGATGGAAGCGTGGCACAGCTTGGGATCGGGAGCTCTGCGCAGCAACTGCTTAAACACTGTACGGTCACTGTACTGTCACATCGTCAAAATGCGCGATGGTTAAATATATCTTGACCAAGCAGTGCAGATTTGAGAGAAGACAACACGACACTTGCACGCTATGCGACAAAACCAATTCACTCCTGCCGAATAGCATGAACGTCTGCGCAATGCTGCATTCCTGCTTGGACAGTAAACGGGCTACAGGGCCCGAAGGGATACCTGTAATGTTCAATAACTTAAAGACGATGTCAAGGATGCCATCAGCTCAAGCAGTCAAATAGGGCGATGGCACAGACCTGCACGCGTCAACAGAAGAGGAACACGTCTCTCCCCCTCGCCACTGCCGTCTGGGACTCCAACTCCAGCAGTTGCCAGTCCGCCAAGTCCGAGCTCTTCACAGCTGACACCTCAAGGTCTCTCTTGTGCGCAGAGAGGCGCATGAAACAAGGACAGACTCGACAATCATCCACTCTGAGCGACCTCCGGGCAATCTGCCTCCATCCTGGACATGCGATTGGCTGCTAGCAAGCTGCATAAGAATTCCTTGCACCTTGGTGCTCTGTGCAAGAAATCCGCATGAGGACTGGGCATTGACCTCGAAGCCTCCCAAAGGGTCTTCCAGTAGGCTTCTTCGGCCAAAGCTGGCTGCGGTGTGCTCGGGGCAAAAGCGACCTCAGAGAGCAACAGCGCAAGCACATGCCCGGAGGTAGCCTGGGCTGAGTGCGGCCTCCATCGCTTCAGGAGGATCATCGTCTTCCCCGGCCCCAGACAACATCGCCTCGAAGGGGGACATCAAACCTCATCTATCGGGACCCATGACAAATTAAAATTCCATGGCGATGCTTCTACAGGCTGCAACATGTAACAGTACCTGACAACGAAATTCTCACACAAAGGCCATGAATCCCTGGCTTCAGCGGAGGTGTTTTCCAACTGCTTCCGCTTCGGTGGCGTTAAGTCTGCGCTTCGATCTTACAGATCGAAGTAGTCGATCTTACAGATCGGTGTTGATCTTTCCTTCCGCTGGGAGGACCGACTGGTTCCCAGGCGGTTCTCGCAGACAGGAAGCAGAGGAAAATTAAAAGTAATATCGAAGAGGGTCGGGACGGGTGGGTGAAACAAAATTTCGCTCAAGCTGTAACAGCTTTCGCCAAAATGGCCACGGAGTATACAATCATTCGACATGAATCGGTGAGTCAATCCCCTGACCGATTCGGTGTTTAAGTGAGATATGAAGTTGTCACTTCGCACAAACAAGTGTGTGCTACACGACAACGAAATTCTCACACAAAGGCCATGAATCCCTGGCTTCAGCGGAGGTGTTTTCCAACTGCTTCCGCTTCGGTGGCGTTAAGTCTGCGCTTCGATCTTACAGATCGAAGTAGTCGATCTTACAGATCGGTGTTGATCTTTCCTTCCGCTGGGAGGACCGACTGGTTCCCATCGAGTGTGGTCGCGTCCTCCCATCGCAGGCGAACGCCACTCGAAAGAACATTAGCGTAACATCGAAAGCAAATGGTCGTGCAATCGGTGAATTTCGGGTAAGTCGGAAAAACCCGTCGAGGAAGCAAAATGGATATCTCCTATGATCTTCGCAGCTCTACTCGTCAGTGCATTAAGAGGCAAATCGAGTTTAGTCCAGCTCTCAGACTCCGGAACGTTCTCAAAGCGGCTGATCCCGTCGGAGATGTTCGCCTTGGTGGGTACCCGCTCAAGTCGATGTGCAATACTGCGTCGATTGTGCCAAGTCCAATGTGCCGCAATGAGGCAATTCAAAGGTTGATGTTTGCCGACGCCCTTGAGTAGGGCGTGTCGGGAGGCTTCGTTGTCACAGCATTGAACGTAGAACTGATCCAGCCACGGTTCGAAGACCAACGGTGCCAGTATCGCTACCCATGCTTCGAGAAGGTAGATGAAGGCCTGGTCGGAGGCAAACTGTCGAACAAGTAGTGAAGGAAGACGACCCTGGAAGTAGGCGGCGGTTCGCACGTCACCGTGGTGGAAGCAAACCGCCGCCCAGCCGTTTTCGATGTCGGACGTCGACTTTGAGTCCCAATTAGGGATGTCGCTGTCTCCCGGCTTGTAGATGGTGGAGCCAAGCCGGAAGTATGCGTCCGTATAGATGACGCTGTATGTCGGCTTGGTCGGTGTGCGTGGTATCGTCATTGGTCGGCAGTGCTGTATGATGTCCTTGAGGGCGAGTAGTGATGAGCGTGTGGGCTTGTCGAGGGCATGTGAATAGGAGTGAGCTCGAGAATAAAGTGCCTTCAGGGCCGCTCGACCCACCTTGCCAAATAGTCTCCCAGTCAGGAAGTTGCACTTCCCGGCCATCTTCCTGGCTTGCTCGGGGGACAGTGACGAAGTAGTCAGGTGTGTGTCGATTTGTCTACACATGTTTTCGACTCTCTTTGGACAAGGTGTGAGGACCAAGTTGTTGTCGTCGGATGAAATGATGACTCCTTGTATACGATGTGCTGTTTGCGGTGGTTGACGTTTACTGGGCTTCATCGATATCTGGAGACATCCGTTGTACTCCTCGAAGGACTCGAAGCTGCCTTTGGCGAGGTCGGAGTCTTCCATGGATCCGTAGTCGTCGACGTAGTGCATGGCCGGAGACAAGATCATCGTTCGGCTGCAGGCCACGAGAATGTCGCCGAATCGATTGTAAGACCAGACACTTGCGGCCGATCCGAAAAGAAGGACATTGTGGCTCCACAGCGTTGGGCCGTCCGGGGTCAACAACATCACATAGGCTTCTCGAGGATCACGAAGTGGAAGTTGGCGATAAGCCCCGTCGTGGTCATGTCCCCAAACAGACAAGGGTTTCGAGTGATCGGTTCGGAGTGTAGCGAGTCCCAAGGAAATAAAGTGGTCGGGTGTGTGATGGTACGGTTGGTCGTGCATGGTGCAGGTCGCATTGTGGCCACTCCGGCGCCAATCCTCGCCTCGTCGGACTTTGTTGTTGCCGTCGCTGCCGGTCTGTTCGATGCTGAAAGCCATGGCGATGTAGGGATCGGAGTGTGGTAGTGGTAACAGGGCTCGATGTTTCCCTTTTGGTGGTACCGTGGCAGCGCGGGGCCACCAGTCGGGGGCTTGATACGGTCCGTTCATGCGTCCCATGTCGACTTCGGCCAGGATTTCATCCAGCATCAGTTCCCAATGTTCGTCGACGGAATTCTTCTCGATCTTGTCGTGGATGTACTGTCGGTTCTTGTCACCAAACTCGTCGATCGGTGTGGGTTCGAGATATTTAAGGTCTTGTCGAACGTGCCAGTTGATGCCTGGGGTCAACTTGCCCATCAAGGGGAAACCTTCGGAGAGTTCGCGATATATCAGCTCTGTTTGTGGGTATTGGATCAGTCGTAGTAAGTGAACGAGTACTGGGATCTGTGTGACTGAATCCTTGTGTCGGTATGCTCGTTGTACGTGTTCTGGGAGTGTGTGATACCAGGCCATGGTGTGATCCTCCATGTCTTCGACGAGCTCGCGGATGTCGGCGATGATCGCTTTCTGGAAATCTACGAGTGGGTGAAACACATGTCGATGTTGTAAGCACCACTCGAGGGTAGGATCCAGTGGCTTCGGGGCCAAGTGTGTGTCGCGATGAAGTGCCCAATCGAGGTGTTCTGTCCAGGAGAACTGAGGCATGTAGTTGTGTGTCGTGGAACGTGGAGGAGGACCGAAAGGGACTTTGTGGTGTAGCCACAAGGCAGTAATCTGTTGGAGAGCCGAAGATCGTGGTGTGTCGGGGATGGTCGCGTTGACGGTCCCGAGAAGCAGCAGGAACATGATCCAAACTGCCGTGGGAAGATGCCAAGAGTTGCCTAAAGCAACGCATCGTTTGGTTTCGTCGCCCTGGGCGAGTGTGGCGGTGTAGTCCAGCGGTAGACCTTGAAGTTGTTCTCGAAGTGTGGCGGGTGCTGTAGACCATGTGCCATCGGGTAATGTCACCAAGAACTGCTCCTCGTACTGCCACACAGGGTATCGACGATTGTCCTGTTCCCATCGTTGCCACGCGTCATGTGAAGTCGAGCGATCTCGGAGATGTGTAGGCGGATCTCGGCCCGTAGTCGATGTTGATGGTGTAGTCAAGCAATGGAAAAGTTTCTTGTCGCTATGGAGGCATGGGGGAAGGGAGTAGTCCTTCGTCTTGATGTGTGTCTGCAATTCCTTAGCGATCGGGTTGTGGAGTCGGTGCCATGTTCCCTCGAGTTTCCAGTCCAAGGACCAAGGTGTGAGTCGTGGAAGGCGTTCTTCGATGATGTTCCAAGGGATCGATGTCCACCACAGCCGCTTCCGGTGCATGATTCCGGCGTCGGCTGCATCGACGACTATGGGGTCCATACTCAGTGGCGATGTGAGCTCAAGCAAGTTGTCGTGAACATCCGGGTGAGGGACCACGTTCTCGAAGATCGTTTCAATGGCGATGCCAGTGAAGCGTTTCCGGAGTTGGTGTTCGATGCCCACCATGTGACTGAAAAGCCAACCCGATGTGCCCTCGGAGCCTGGGGGTCGGTGACGCAAGTTCGAAAAATCGGGGCAAGGTGGTCCAGCGGTTATCACCATTATGTATTGTTGATGGAGAGTAGCAGCATCGATGTGCTCCGCGACGGACTCGATGTCGAACTGTGTCACGTCCCCCATTTGTATGGATCCGAAGTGTTGTGAGGTAAACTGTGCACATTCGAGGTCGATCTCCCAAGAAAGGGTCAGGAGGATGTGCCCATTGATTCGTCGTAGTGCTTCGGAGGCAATCCCGATACCATCGAAGAAGGACAGGTGCACCACCGGTAAGGTGCCGACCAGCTCGTAGCACAATGTACAAGTTCGGTCGTGTAACTCTGTCGGTCGATGGTCGGCTCCAGGGTCGGCAGACCCTGGGCCGTGCTGTCCCTATTTCTTGCCGGACTTACCGGCTTTGCCCTTCTTGCCGGCGCCTTTCGAGCCTTTGTCTCCCTTCGCGTTCCAAGGAGGTCGTGTTTGAGATACATGAGGAGCCGGGTTCAGTGGCAGGGTCGGTGATGGTGTCGGAGTAAAGAAAGTCGGCGTCGTAGGAGATGTCCATGCTTGTGTCGGGGTGGCTTGCCAAGAAGACATGGCCTGTGTAGTCCACGTAGGTGTCGAAGGTTGCCATGAGCGCCATTGTGTGGTCGGATTGGACCAGGGTTGTCGATATCGCCGTCCTTGTCCTGGAGGTGACCACTTCTGCTGATATCCTTTTCCTTTCCCTTTCGGGGTTTGTTCGGCGCCTTTGCCGAATCGCTGCTTCTTCGACAGCGGTTGTTGTATAACGTCGTTGACTCTGGTGAGGTCGTTGATGAGGTCGTCGGTGATCGCTTGGAAGGTCTCGTTAGATCGCATGCGCATGGCGATGTCCCAAGAGAATTCTTCCCAAAGGCTTTTCACGTTGTTAATGCGTTGTGAATGTTTGCGTACGAGACGAATGAACCAATCGACGTATTTGTTGACGACCGTCTCGGAGGCATACTTAATGAGGATCCAGGCCCATCGGATTGCCTCAATCGCGTCTATAAGCATCCATTGTCCTCGCACATCCCACTCATCGTGTGACTTCTCGGTGATGTTATTGCGTTCGTCGAGGACCAGTTTCTTCTCGTGCGTATCCTTCTTCCTGGCCGAGTTGATCGTGTCGAAGCTAGTCCAGATCCTTTGTGACACTATCTCGCCAAGTGCTGTGGCGGTGTACATCTTCGATGTATGGTGCTCGTGATACATCCGAGCGAGTACCTTCTCCGCCCCGACTAGATTCTTCTCGGG